AAAAAGTTAGTATGGTCAACTTCTTCGATTATGTTTTTCCCATATTCAATTTTAAGTGGTTCTAGTTTACTATTATATGTCTGAAATCTTATCATCTTAGTTTTTTCGATGTTAATTTGTAAATTATTATGTCTTAACCAATCTATTATTGTTTCTAAGGTCCTATTTATTTCATGTTCGTAGTCAAAAAATTTTATTATTATTTTCAATATCAATGGTAATGTCATCAGCATATAGCACACATTTATGAGTAGTTACGTTACAAAGATCGTTGAATATAGATTATAAATAATAAAGGTCCTAGTATACTTCCTCGTGGCACTCCGCATTTATTTCCGCAATACTGTGATCTATAATTTTTTCTATGGTGTCCTGAGTAACTTGATACCTCAACGCATTGTTTTCGTTGACTTAAATAATCTTGTATTAATTTTAATGCATTGCCTCTTTCACCATATCTGCTAAGTTTGTGTAACAATAATTCGTGATTAACAAAGTCAAAATGCCTTCATATCAAGTGAAAATTGATGTTATAGGTATTTTGTTGTTTAGGCTAGTTGCTATTAGTTTTATTAAGTTGAAACTTGCTAAAGTGGTTGACTTTTTTTTTGTAAACCCATATTGCTCTGGTTTTAACATTGCATGTTTGTTAAAGAAGTTATAGATTCTGGTATGTATGGCCTTTTCAAACACTTTTGATAAAACAGATATCAGTGTTATGGGCCTATAATATTAATCAATATTTCGTTTTTTTTTTCATAAAAATATTTAAGTTATTCAGTTTAAATACACATAGTCTAGATGAGGGATCTAGGATTCTCTAGGATCTCTATACGTTCGCAAAGTTTTATCACAATCGGTACAGATGGACAGACAGACAAAATTTTTTGATAGCATGAAAATGCCCTTAGCTTAAAACAATTGAAAAATATTTGTCGTACGCTGTAAAAAGATATAGCTGCGAAAGAATATATCGTATAAAATGTAGGCCAATCCGTCTTAAAGTTAAAAACGTTTGGCGGGTAGCGAATGGTGAATAGAATTTTAAGGGTTCCGCTGTCTTACGAGCCCTTAAAATTTACCCTTTAAATTTTGTGTAGTCCATCTGTTCTAACATAAGTTCGAAAGTTTTTGATAAACTTATATACTTTTTATATAGATTAAAATTTATAATATATATTAATTTTTCTAAGTAAAAAAGAAAATGCTTACTTTTTTCAACTATTATAAAATTGAATATTATACCAACGAGCTTAATTAGCCTTTCAGTTAACAGCCTAGCCTTTTTACTAAGCGGTGTAGTTAAGTAAAAAGTTGAGGCTATTAACTGAAGGCTAATAGAGAAGTTGCATTAATTTTTTGCCATAAATTTATATTAAATAAAAGATTAATTTATCCAAAGTATATTTAAATATTTTTTTATTAACAATTCCTTCTTTTCAGTAATTATTAATAAAAACGTTGTCATGTCATTATATCCGTTGAGGCTGTAAGCCTCAGAGTAATGATTATGTATGTATAATTACTCTAAGCTGTAAACCAATCGCAATCATGTTATACTTTTGTATTTTCTATATTCGGATCACCGTGTGTCATATCAAGACATTATATAATATATAACCATTGACTTATATATGAAATCATTGATATATAACCTGTATTATGCAATGACAATTTTTTCACAAAGTAAACATTAGTGTTTTATCTTTTCACCATGCGGCGTCACTTGCGTTTGAATTTAGATTTTAGAAAAACCATTTTAATCGTAAAATTACATAAATAATCAATTGTAATTTTTTTGAAATATTTTTAGTAAACTTTCAAAAAATAATAATAAACATACAACTTCTCTATTATGTTAGATTGTTGCTAATAAATATATTTAATATTTAATGACGCAATATAAAAAGATCAATTAAAACAATCATTAGCTTTTAATTTTGGAAATAGTGCTTCGTACAACTAGATATAACAGTGTTATTATACTATGTAATTATACTGACTTTATTATATATTTATAAGTACGACGGCGGCACTGAAAATTTCGGGAATCAAGGAAGTGACACAACATTACTATTTAAAAATGTATTTATTGCTTTTCGAAGTATTCTCTGCGAAATTTGACACATTTTTCCATACGATGGAACCAATCATTGAAGCAACCATTCCATGTAAAAGTTGGGGTCTCCAAAATGGCCGTTTTGTAGGCGTACAGCTTCTTCAGGTGATGAAAATCTCTGTCCACGCAATTTATTCTTTATTTAAGGGAAAGTATAGAAATCATTAGGGCTTAGGTCGGGGCTGTACGCGGATGGTCTAATAATTCTATGTTTTCTTGCTCTAAAAACTCTTTTGTTCTGTGTGCGGTGTGAGAACTCGCATTGTCGTGATGGAGGATGATGCGGCGGTTGCAGTTCTATTTACGGAGTTCAGAAACGACCTGTGGCAAACAAATGCTAGTATACCATTCTGTATTAACCGTTCTTTGTCCCTCAAGAGGAATAGTCGTAGAATGGCCGGTTTTGGAGACAAACGTGCCCACCATTTTTTTTGCAACTCTCCGTGAACGAACAATTTTTGTTGGCTTTAACTCATTTTCGAACATCCAAACTCGTGACTGGTTTTTTGTTTCGGGTTCGTACGCGTATATCCAGGATTCGTCACCTGATAGGGTAAGCTATACGAGCGCATTATTCACAAGCGTCTCCGTCAATACACCGAATTCAACAGACTCCTCCCAGACGAGCAGTTTGGTTTTAGAGCCAATCACTCATGCACCCACCAGATTCATTGCCTAACAGAATACATTCGGTCTGGCTACAACCAAAACCCGACAAGGAAAAAGTCTCGAAACACGGGGGCCCTCTTCATCGATGTCGCGAAGGCGTTTGACAAGGTCTGGCACGACGGCTTGATTTACAAGCTGTACAAACTAAACGTGCCAGATAGGCTCGTGCACATCATACGAGCCTTCCTTTCGAACCGCACTTTTCGATATCGAGTGGAGGGAACCCGTTCTTCGAAGCGCTCCCTGAAGGCCGGGGTCCCAAAGGGCTCCATCCTATCTCCACTTCTCTTCACACTCTTCACGAGTGATATCCCTAAAGACAGACCCCGTGGTCAACACCGCACTCTTCGCTGACGATACGGCACTCTATGTCTCAGATTACAACAAAAATAGCCTCTCATTAAAGCTCCAAAAAGCCACTAATCGCCTAGGCGAATGGTTCCGTGGAGAATTGATGTGAATCCCGAAAAAAGTATAGCAGTATACTTTCAGTGGAATTCAACAGCAGGTTCTAAACCAAAAACGATTTCGCTGTACGACCGCCCAATCCCTTGGGAAAAATCGGCCAAATATCTAGGCGTCACGTTCGACATCCGCATGAGTTTCGCGACGCACATAAGTGTAGTACGCAACAGAGCCAAGTCAGTAATTGGCCGTCTACACCCTCTTGTTAACAGCAAGAGTAAGCTGTCGCTAATACACAAACTCCGACTATACAAAACCTGCGTTAGACCAATTATGTCCTATGCAAGTGTAGCTTTCGCCCACACATTTAAGACCCACATTGTAAAACTTCAAAGAGTACAAAACTTTTTCATCCGAAAACCCACCGGTGCACGGTGGTACCAACGGAACTTTGATTTGCACAATGATTGTGAATTACCATCTATCTCCGAATACTTTAAAGAGATGTCCCAACGCTATTTTGATAGAGTAGAAACCCACCCTAACCCGTTAGTGACAAACGCAGCTAACTACGTTCCGATAACAAACGTCTTGACCTATCAGGAATGTGTTAAATAGAACCACCTCAACCGCTCGATCCAGTCGACCCAAACGTCGCAGGCACATCACACAATGACACCACACCCACACTAAATGGAACAAACACTACTAGGATAACGAATGGGGTGCGTCGCCCCCGCAGACCGTTCCAGCTCACACCGCGTACACACCGTACACCCGCGTTCCTGGGCGGTTCTCACCGCCCAGATCATCGACCAACACGAGCTGAGCAGTCAGAGACGGGGGTCCGCACTCCCCCCCCCTCGGACTGCGGTTAGATAGCTCAAGAAACGCCTAAAAAGGTGACATGATGATTGGTAACAATACCAAATCATAAACCACTCATCATCATCCTCACCTCATTGCCCTTACCTTTTTAATTAGCCCTGAGACAGATGAAGCTGTGAGAGTCGTATAGACTAACAGCGCTAACATCTCGAAAATAGTAGTCACCTGATACGATGTTGTATACAGCATTTGAGGATCCTGCGTGGAATCTTTCGAGAGTTCTGACGCACCAAGTAACGCGAGCCGCTTTTTGCTCTTCACAGAGCGAATGCGGTATCCATCGGGAAAACAATTTTTTTACACCTAATTGTTCATACAAGATTATTTGTATTTGACTAATGTCAATGTCTAAAGTTGCCTGAATTTCGCGGTATGTCACATGTCGATCTTCCTCAATCAACTTACGCACAGCATCAACATTTTCTTGGGTGACTGCAGTTTTTGGACGACCTTGACGGGGAATCATAACTGAGCTTGACACGTCCACGTTGAAATTCAGCAAACCAGCGATAAATTGTGGTTTTGGATGGGGGCTTCATCACCAAATGCAGAAATCATCCAGTCAACACACTGTTTTTGTGTTAAGCTTTTGAATTTTCTCGAGTCAATTCCATTTTCTCAACGACTAAACAAGTTTGACAAAACCTTGTGACAAGACCGAGAATTTTTTTTTAAATAAATAAATGGTATTCGATTTTTAAAACCAAGGAGTTTTCAATTAAAAAGATTTTAATATGACAGGAACAGTGGAAATATTCCATTCCCGATACTTTTAATGCAGCCTAGTATCCTTAGATTTAAACAATAGGATTAAAACGTAGTGATCATATACGCTAGGTGGAAGAAATGGGTTAGGACTTATTGCTATGTATAAAAAATTATCAAATATTTATATCTAGAAAGACTAATAAGTAATTACCTTGGTCCCATTAACGCAACCAATTTGCCGGGTTTTGCGATGCCGCTCACTGTAAACAAAAAAGCTCTATTATTATATTTTCAAAGCGATTTTTCGTGGCGCATTAGTCCAACTCCACATCTTGGTGCATGATATGATCGTACGAGTATCATCGTCGCGTGGCGTATATCGTAAACAATCGTTTGGCCGCAAAATTTTACTTGATCACGAGATACGCCGTTGTGATACCGTGCCGTGTCTGATATGTCTCGATCAGAACAAAACCTCATCTCTGTACACTTCGTATCGTATACACATATCGTGATAAAGTGATTCTATATCACCATAAAGGTTCCGCCTTGATTGTAGTAGTGACGTGTACTGACAGGCGTGTTTGTGTGTGTAAACAAGACCGCGAAGGACCGCGGCACACTAACACACACGGCTAACAACAACCAAAGTCAAACCTTCATCGTGAAATTGGATAACTATAGCAGTATAAACGTATACTAACAAAAAAACGTTTATTAAAAGTAAAAGCCGAGTTCAATGACCTGTAAATAATAAATTAATTTCACTTTCTGAAGTTTTTTTCTTTTTAAACAAAAACATTTTTCCTAACACGGTTATTTCATATTTCGTAAAAGGATGCCTCGAGCAGTCATGAACCGATGCGATGTAAGTAATTGCTATTGTACATTATGTAAAATATATAAAAGTGATTTTTATATAGTTCAAGCAGGCTAGCTGTCCAACTCTAACAAATTCAAAAATTCACAAACTTCTAGCAATTTATAAAATTCCGACGTGTAATGAAATGAAATTAGTTTTGCATTTTGCAGCAGTAAAAAGTGTTTTTAAATAAAGACCCAGGGTGAGCCGTCCTAACAGGACATATTCATACTTGTACCTATACATTGTTAATAAATATAAATTATTATTTTAAAAAAGGAGTTCCGCAATGGGTTTCTTGTTGACTTTTTCCAGACTTCAATAAGTGTTACTTGTCATTTTATTTTATTTACATTTCATTTTCCGAGAGACTTCAATTCTACTCTCATTTTCCGAAGCCGGCTAAAAAGGATACACAATTTCCTCAAGTTCTTCCAAAGATTCTAAAGTCGCTGCTTCAATTATTCGATATATGTACTGTCTTAGCACACACTGAAGAAGCTATTATGTGGAAATTATTTTATTAGTTTTTACAAGCTTAGGTATGTTAATTTGGTTCGAAAAGTAATCAAATTTTAAAGCACTTGCTGATATCCAGTTGAGCTTAAATTTGGCATACTTATGGCATATATATGTAACTTCCATGACAATGCCATAGTTGCCACGCTTGGCAAGCAAGTTGGCAACCACAGTTTTTTATTATTTTGAGCTGTTATCAGGAAGATGCTGTTGCCCATTTCCTATTTCATTTTCCCTCTGTCGTCTCTAGCGACACCCGCTCAACGATATGGGGTAGTGGGTACACCGCCACCACAGGGTTAGGAAGTATTAATTAAGTATAACATAACTTATCGATAAATGTACAGTCATTATTTACGATGCTCGGTAATTACCTGAAATACATTTAATCTTATTATTATAATCTGTAACAGTATAGTTTTAATCCGGTTTAACGTTTCTTTAAAACTCTCTTCCTTTTAACGATAGCAGTCTGCTTACTAGAGCTCAAGTATTCTGTGTTTAAAAACTTAAACAATTATTACGTTTTTTTAAACTAAATTTTTGTAATATTAGAGTTCAAAAACAAAAAAAAAAAACATTTCTGATCATGATATGATTCTAATAAAAATACAAGGTTATGATGATTAAATTGTTGTATTGTCATCAGTTCTAAATTCTTCTAAAATCTTGCAAAATATCAGATTGCTCAGATTCCGGAACTGGGTTTAAGTTCGCGGCTTAACCCCTATAACGACTGAAAATGGGTTCAGATAGGGCGATGGTAACGGTATTTTCAACGTAGACAAATTGGTATTCGAAAAATATTAAAAAAAACTTAAATAATACAACCTACATCAAATCATTTGCCTACCAAATCCATACAAAAATGGTCATAGTTCTCTAACCATCTACTAGTTCCCGGAAGTGCAACTCTAAGATATAGATACATAACTTAAACGAACCTACCCGTAAACCACCACTGCCTTAACCTATCCTGAGGGTCTACAATAACTACTAACTAAAAAAATAAGCTCTATTATATTATACTATATTATATTATAAAACCTCTTGGCGATCGATCCTCTCTACTTACTTCACAAAGTAAAACGACTTCAAACCGTATCAACTTTAAAAAGTATGTTTGCAGTTGGCATTTTGAAAAAGCAGATACACGTTTGGATGAATATACCTATTTCAGATTACTGTTGAGTCAATATTTTTATTTTTTACTTGTATTACAGCTCAATGAATTATATAATGATAAAATTATGAAGAATACAACTTATTTAACTTTTTAATCGCTTTATCTCAGTAATGGTGATTCTTAGGGAAAAAAGATTA